AATATCACTGAATTATAAAATATTTGAAAATAGTTTTGAAACAACTGTCATAATATTTCCTAAAATTGAAAGAATCGTGGGTGTCCGCTTTTAACGATAAACGGCATATAAAAAATAACAACTAATAACAGCGTTTAATTATAATGCCAAAGCAGCAATTAAAATTGATTATATTAAAAAATAGAAATCACATTAAGAACTCCGGCTTTCTGAAGGAAATTCAAGATATACTACAAGAGATTAACTAGGTCAACCAAATTGATAAAACTATTAGAGCATATTATAGCAAATACTATTTAAATACTCAAACGAGTTAAGCAGTAACATTAATCAACTAATTTTTACCGACAATATTAAAGTTAGTTATTACAGACTGCTCCAGCTAAAGAGCAAGGATGGAGATAGAATTTTTGCAATAACGAAAACAATTAAATACCACACAAGTTTCTAGACTACGCCAATGTTTCTTAAGTACTGAAAGTGGTGTCACTTAAAATTGTTACCAAGTGCCTACAAAAGCCATCACTCTCTATAACATATATCATAGAGTTTAGTATACCTATATACCTATATATACCTATATAGTAATTAATTGTAGTAATTAACTACAAAATATATATATTTATAAACCTAACCACGCAGCGAACAATATATATCTTGTTTATATATTCTTTATTATACATATTTACATGTTTATTCATAAAATTGGGCGGCACATAAAACTTTCGCAACACAATGGTTATATGTTATGTTATGTTATATGTTATGTCTATCTGTGATGCAGTCTTCTTTCTGCGAATTATGCCAAAACTAACCAACTATGGCCATACATAGAACCATCTAATACTAAAAAATTTAAGTATTTTGAATAAACCCGAATTCGGTCCTTCGTTTCTTAAAATTGGTTGTTGCTTAACACGTAGAGATATGCACAGACTAAGAATTATAACTGACAATCTTTACCGCCTCTATCAAGAGGAAGAAGATGAGTTATCACGGTTTCATTGCAAGAAACAGAGCTACAATTCTTAGGAAACCCTTTCTAGGACCCCAAAACACTATAAGAAACTTGTATCAGTGACTTCAGAAAACTCTCAAAAAAATAATGTGATCCATTAAAAAATAGAAAGTTTGAGGAAACCAAATTAACCAAATATTGGAGACCTCACAAATTATAAAAGAAAATAAAGTAATCTAGATAGCTCTTGATGCAGCAGTACACGTCTCCAGGATAATGACATCCTAAAACAAGAGTCACAGAGAAAAGCAGCAGACTCGTAGGCAATCTACGTACAGTCTACCAGAGCTTCTAAGAAATGACAAAATTCAATATATAGGATCTTCGTATAATATTATGATTCTCACAAAAAAAAATATTGTTAACAGGTTTACCGTCTGTTTTATAACCGTTAATCTATTTTTAATTAAAACATTAAACGAATATTGACATAAAATAGCTTTGCAACAACTTCGATTTATAATGTAAAATTTAAGAGTTATGTAAATATTCTTCAAAATAATTGAATATAAAACTGTCTTCGCGCTTCTATCATTGTATAACTTTTACTTCCGCCAGAAAAGTAGTAAAAAAATTATGAATTCTATTGAGTTGACTCCAGATCTATTAATAACAACATCGAATTCTCTATTCAAATTTTATATTTCGTCAGACAGCTATTTAAAGATTACAGTTCCCTTATAAAAAATTGTCAAATAAAATGTAAAAATCACAAATTCTTACATCATATTTTTCATTTATATAGAATGTAATCTTAGCAACATAAAAATAACAGTGACAAATTAATTAATCAATTAACTTAAATAAAATTAATCTGTTAAATTCTGTTATCGCTGAATATTGTGTAAACACACCAAAACTAACTTTAATAAAAGTTATTCAATATGCATTCACATGAACGAACACTAAAAAAATGTTTAATGGTAGGGACCTGAGTTCTAAATCATATTTGGTATATTTATTCTTTAAGTATTTTTTTTTAAATATTGTATATAAAATATCCAATCGCAAATTTAAAAGAAGTAAGTTTATTTAAATCGTAATACATTAATTATACTATAATTAAGGTGACTTCAAGCAACAGAATTTGGTTCTAAATTATTCTTATTCTTAATTATACAGAACACAGTTTAATTACTTACTCTCTACTCTCTACGTACTGATCCATACTGAATATTTTAATAGTTGTTCATATTTTAATAGTTGCAAATGAGATCCTAAGTCTTTGCTGCTGTATCGCAGAAATCTAGTTATTGGCGCCTAGAGATAGGTTTTAGACTATACTTAATGTAATCAAACTTCTAACTAGATAACGTTTTTATGCTTCAGGCTGTACTAGTGTTTCACAACATGGTCCCAACTCTTTCTTTCTCTTTCTCTTTCTTGGTCCCAACTAGGTAATTGGAAATTAAAACTTTTACACAAATTGCTCCAGTTCATTTTTATTTACATTTGCTGATACATTTACTATTTCACAATTATCAACGGATACAGAATAATTTAAGTACGTTTATTTTTGTAAAAACCAATATTAGTTATAATTCAATATTTATTTTTTAAAAATTTCAGTTTTAAAAGAATGCCCAGTTTCTATTATTAGATTATTCTAATTTCCAGTTTCTATTATTCCAATCAAACTTAATATGAAATACTTACAAACAATATAGAACATTTCCAGCAGAATATTATAAGTAGATTTCCAGTTATTTAAAGCCCATCTTATAAATTTATTGCTAAATGCTAAAAAAAAGCAGCAAACTCATTATATTTACAGATTAAAGTTATAAAATTCTATACTCAGATAAATGGGCTCTCAACATAACCAACACACTACAACAGCATATGAACCTTATCCTGGAGTATTTCCAGAAATTGATATTAAAAATCAATAATAAAAAAAACCTAGGCTCTGTTTATTATGCGTAAGTGGAGACAAAACCTGTCGAGATTGAGAGTGGGAGATATGGTAATAAACTGGGAGGATAGCATTAAATAATCGGCAT